TGGCTCGGCTAAAGACTGTCCAAATGACCTGACTATGGCTAGACATCACACACATCTATGGAGGTCACTAGCTAGTGGCTTCTGACATTTTCAATTGACAAACAGTGCACAAGCCGCAGGCAACTTACATTACAAGGAGGCTTTGGATGGCTGGTATCAGGAATGGTAGAGGTAGATAGACATGGTACAATCTCAGCGCCATTGGGTGGGTCACAATGTGCCTCCATTTGGGCAGGATACGCTCAGCTCTGATAGCTGTCCTCAGATGTGCTCCCTGGATGTCTGAGCACCTAGTGCATTGTGGGTAGAAGGTTTGCTTCGGGTACTGTTTGTGAAACAGCTCATACCATTTGGGCTTACGCATCATTCTCTCTCTGATTACCTATCACAAAAATTGGAGAAAAATATCATTCTCTTGTTGGCACAATCTCGGGGGGGGGGATGTGGCCTAGAGGTTAGGGTTTGTAGCTTCTGATCATAGGGTCAGGGGTTCGAATCCAGCTGGTGGCAGCATGTTGCGATCTTGAGCAAGTCACTTTACTCCCATGTGCCTCTCTCCACCCAGGAGTAAATGGCTACCTGTCAGGGTAGATTTGGATTAGCCGTTTGTGCCTGGGGTTCGAATCCAGCTGGTGGCAGCATGTTGGGATCTTGAGCAAGTCACTTTACTCCCATGTGCCTCTCTCCACCCAGGAGTAAATGGCTACCTGTCAGGGTAGATTTGGATTAGCCGTTTGTGCCTGATAGGGTAACATCAGGCTAGTATACTCCCCAGGGAGCAGAGATAGTTTGAGGAATGTTCAGTTGTTTTGGGCCCAATGTGCAGGGATAATGATGCGCCTTGAGCACCCAGCAGCATGGATACATACGCAATATAAATCAGAATTATTATTATTTGGTTGTATTTTATTACCAAACATGATTTTAGACAATGCCAGTAACTGAAGCCCAGAACGTCATATGAGAAGAAGCATCCACATAAACATTCAGTTTACCCTAATTGAAAGTCTAGATCACATCTCAAAGAACTGCTGCAAAAATGTACCGGCAATCTTTCACTATTTTGTTAATTATGGTGTAGAAGAACACAGCCAATGAATACAGTTTAGCCTCAATTAAAGGGCCTTCTGACTTTGTAGATGACCTTGTTATAACAGGAAGTTGAAAACATAAAGAACACCGAATTGGGACATCAGGTTTGCTCGCTATAAGCAGTATGTTGTATGAATAGTGCTCTTAGTGATGAGGTTCCATTGTAAAGTTAACATCAACTAAAATTTGAAATAGGTGGAAGATACATATTTTAGCTTTTGGAAATAGTACTGAGAAAGATCCTTAAAGAAATTGACACTCCTGGCCCTTACAATTTTAACCTATTACATTCTGGTCAATCTTGTTTTTAAACATTCTCAGAGTTTACATACAGAGTTAACATCAAAAGCATGTTTGTACATGAATGAGTGAAAACTTTAGCGGGAACTGAAAAGGAAAAACTCTGAAGATTGTGAAGTTACCGCTAGCGGAGGTTGATGATCTGCAATGAAGTCTTGGATAAACCATCTCCTACCACAGGTATGACATCCATGTCGTTTGCCTGTCGCTCGCAGTGATTTTTTCTTTCTGGTTGTGGCATAACTAAACGTTGCAGCGAGGCCATGTCTGGCAAAGGCACCTTGACAATTCAAACAGAAAAGAACAAAAACATTAACACTGAATATGCTAGAAGACCATCATTAAAAATTCCATGAGAAATATCCTCAAAGACAGAGTTTGTTGTACATCCCAAATAAAGGAAATGAAATTGACAAAATTAAAGTACAGACCTCTGAAATTTCCATAACATCCAACAAGTCCAAAAGCTTTCATGTTGCAAGGAACTTTTTATCAAACTTGAAATCAAACTTAAGCATTGGCCAGAGATCAATTCCTGATGTATGAGAACCTGTTGACATCAAGATAGTGGCAATATCACCATGATCTCAATTCTATCTAACGCTGTACTATGTTCAAGTCTTCAAATAGACAAAATTAAAATGGGTCTTGAAACCTATCACTATAATTACAAAATTTCTCTTCTTCCTACGTCCATTCTGTGTTCATTCAGCTAATGTCATTACATACCTGGATGAACCAAGCTACTGGGAAGCACAGATCTGAACCGTCCACCAAGACACAGAAAGACAATGCACGAGCAGACTCCATACATCAAAGCAGTCTCTCGAAATCCAGAATATTTATGGGTACAAACAGTGCCTCTGAATGAATCTGAGCAAAAAAAATAAGGATATGCAAGTGGAAAGAAGAAATCATTGATTATTTTTCTGAAAGGAAACCTCTTCTTATATACGTGTAAACTGGAACCCTTAACTCTCCAAAGATCAGATCTTCAAAATGATTGAACACTTCCCAGAAATTTTTACTGACCTGTGTTCATTTTGGAAAAATAGGTTGCACAGGCCGTCGTAACTGCAGAGGCTGCCAGACCAGATGTACCTACGGAACACAGGCCGAGAAGACTGGAACCCCACACTGCACAGGTCAGCCGCAGTGGACGAAACACCAACACCTTAGCAGCCAAGGATGAACAAATATGTTAACATCTCATACAGAGCCCTTGTTCTCTAATCCTTCTATGAAGGGTGAAGAACAGCGAGGGTTAAATATGTCAAATTTTGCACAGGTCTCACTACATCTGATTGCAGTGAAATAATAAATGGCTGCGAGATTTCTGTATCTGGCTAGTGCATGCTAACCCTCAAACATAACAGATTTCCCTTCACCTAGTATTTCACTTTCCATTCAGTTTGGGGCAAACTGCATTTGCCTGAGGAATCATCTCTTCAGCTCACACTTGTAAACATTGTCGGAGGTCACAAAAGGAGATATGGAAATCTTTCCTAAATGGTCATGCTCTTTTCTTAATTTTTTTAACCTACATGAACAAAGAGCACGCCTTTGGGCTGTAGCACTAAGTTCATCAGAGGAATTGTGTGCTTTATCTTTTTTTTTAGTTGCAAAGGATCTATTTAAGCAGATTTGTAACCTTGTCTTCTTCCAAATCCTTGATATTCATCACAACGGTAACAGTCTGTCATGTGTTTAGATAACAGTAACAAAGTAACTGTGAGTACTATATCACCTGAATCAATCCAAGGCATGATGGGAAGGTTACTAGTCCAACTCCCCAGCTAAAGATCAAGTAGGGTAGCTTAGCTGAAAGGGAAGGACATGAGTCAGGGGCTCGGTCTGCTGAAGCCAAGATACTGTGTCGTAGGCGGGATGTAGCTAATGGGCCCCACATCTTCAGTAATCGTCTGCTGGGTTATGTGGTTTCTGAAAAAGAGAGGAAATACCAAAATGTACAACATTTTGCTGTTTGTAGCGGAGGCATGCACGTGGCTTGTAAAGTGCGACACGGCGAGTACAGTGGAATCCCCTCACATGCCTAAAGTGGCGCACTTTGATGTTTCCCTACTGTCCTCAGGCAGTGTTGCCAAACATTGCTTGACAATGACTGTCATACATGTTGACGTTGCCTACATGTACTTCAGAACTGCAAGACTGTTATGAACCTTACCATGCTTACAGATAGCAAACTCACCATAGCAAATTTCAGCTATGCCTTTTTCAGTTTGTAAAATCCTGGGCCCTTCTGAGCTCAATTGCAGAATACCCCGCCACCCCAAGCGATCAACCTCACAGCCAGATACAACCTAGGTCAGTGTCACACTCTTCTCAAGGGATTTTCACCTTGCACCTACATAACCAGTCATTCCAGGCAGGGGTCATTTTTAGAGTGGCAGGGTATTCTGCAGTTAGGCCTACTCCCAGTTCTGGAAGTACGGTTCAGCCATTGTGAACGATTTCAGTGTCATGAAATTCAGTCCACAGACTCTAATTCAGGAACGGTCATGACGGTGGGATGTCGGTGGCAATGCTCAGACTGGTTGAGCAAAAGTAGGCCCAACCATGTTTATGTTACAAGAGGTGAATCGTACTCGAGCTAGGGCTAATGTCTGTGACCGTATAGTCGCCAGATCCCCTATTTCGCCACTTACTGTGAAAACCAGACTCATTCGACAATAGCTGGCGAGAATTCGAGAACGGCCATGGGCATCGATAAACACGATCGATACATGTAGATAGATAGACTTAAATAAAATTTCTTTGTGGTTAAATGTGAAAGTTGAGGTAAAAACATTGCTCTAGCAGGGCACTGGAGGCGAAAAATCGCCGTACAGCCACTACTTAGTTTGGCCATGGTTTGGCAAAATACTCGAAATTTTATTAAAACTCATTAAAATTTAAATCAGATTACTAAATGTCAAAAGGCAAAGGGACCTACACCTACTTTCAAACCTTTTCATTCAAACAAATCCACGGAGCCGCCACGGTTCAGAGAGGGGCGCCCTCAAGCAGTCGAGTGACCAATAAACTTACATGTACTGCGCTCAGGTAGGTGACAGGCACATATTGGAAGTTGCGCATTTGACAGTCGTCGTCTGCTTTCATGGCTTTGTTGGCAACTCAGGTACGTTATTATATTAGGTATATGCCTTCATATCGATTTGAGACTATTTCTTCCATTATTATGTGATAATTATAATTTCTACCTTCACATTGGGCGTTCGTCTGTTCACAGTTTTCTTTACTTGCATGTTTTAGACTCTGGCCCTATCTTCATAACTTACATTAAGTTACAAACCCCGGTACAACATCTACACGGGTTTTTAAGTGCCACTACAAGCCTAAACACATTTCATTTTTGCTGTTTCTGTATCCGTATGATATAGTCGGCAAAGCATCCAGAGGACACATCACTCCAACTGTATTAGGTTTGCACCTCGTGTGGGCCGGGAGATTGACGCAAATTTAAAAACCCCATCAATGAAAATATTGCCCGACTGCCTCCTTGAAAGCATTTCGATTGTGCCAACTTACCAGCTTACTCTGCCATCATAGCTATTTGTGTAACAAAATTTCATTCATGCCTTCTTGGTGAAGTTAGATGTCAGATAGGGAGGTTTATTCACCTTATCCTCATTAAAATGGTGAAATTCTTGAGCATTTTGCCCATCCATACTACAGAAAATCAGCAGCATGTACATCATGTGTACAATTGATTGTCCTGTTCCGCAAATGCAAATCTTCTGAGGCTCCTGGCGGCACAAAACTTACATTTGTAAAAAGGTATTCATCCATAAATATTTGCAAATTATCCAGTTACCTGAGACACTAAACAGTTTGGGCAGTCATTTGAAAGACAAATGTTACCAAACTTTTTTCACAGGTCAGCTGCATTATTGACAGCTGACCAATTGCAACACAACTCTTATCTTTTCTTTCTTGTTTTCCTATCACCCACAGATGAAAGCCACACTACTATTGGCCCAAGTTGCTTCCATTCCAATGACTAATCATAGCTTGGCTTTCATTTTGATGGGTAATAGGTAACCGTTGGGAAAAATTTGTGGTGTACGTCGGTATAATTCGTATGTGCACATACCTGTTTTAATGAATTGAATTAAAGTTTCTGAGTATTTAAAGCATCAGTAAAAGTTCCTCTTTCTTAAGGAGAAGAATGCAATTGAAGTATCATCAGGCATGCATCTTTGCTCTGACTTGGATGGCATATGCAGGAACCTACTTGCTTAGGAAACCACTAGCTGTTGTGAGTAACATTTCTTGACAAAATGCCTTATAAAAGGCAAATCATTCCCTCATAATATGTACAAAGATGACATTTTTACTACACTTGCCTTTGGTAATTTTATCTTTTTTTGTTGATTTTCATTGAATGCCAGGAAGCAAGGGGGACAACCGTTATATTAAGT